GGTCCAACCCGTTACTAGCCTGGTGTACCTAATAAAGTGGCCGGTGAGTGTAGAGCTCAGTCTTTTGTGTGATAATAAACGATGTCCTTATTTAATTGTGATTTATTTAAATGTTCATTCTTTAATTTCAATAGTGATGTTATGGTGAAAGAAATTCAACATATCAGAGAAACAGTCATCACTGTAAGTGCAAATAGGYAGCCATTCTGTGCCATTTATACATCTATGATAATGATTATAATAATTATACATCTGTTTCTTGTTAAAACCGTGCACTGTCTTTTTAGATCCAACAACTTGTCACTGGCACTGAGAAACAAGCAGCTGTGTCCCAGAGAGTCTTTGAGAAAATTGACAGTTTACCGTCAACATGTAAGTGTTCTGTTGACTGATTTTTTTTTTTGCACTTATGAAAGTCACATCTATGAATCTGAATATTTTACCTGCATAGGTTTTCTTTGAGTTCTGCAGTTTCCTCTAACAAATAACACACAATTTAGGTTCATTAGTGATTCTACTTAGATAAGTAGGAGTGAGTTTGTACATGTATGGTTTCCTTTTGTTCCTTGTGTTGGACTGTACTCTGATTCTCACTCGATCATAGGTTCTGTGACGYTGATCAGAATAAAATGAATGTGGAAAATTAACTACTGAATAAAAAACACTGTACAAGTATTTGTGATGCCCAGCAGGTGGTGGTGTTTGCCCAGTATTATAAATGAAACACTCATTTCAAAAAAATTTACTATCTTGGAAATAAACAGTTAAATTGAATGTGCCTCATTTTAGTAATTATTTTATTTTATCTTCCCAGTRCAAAAGGTTTTGGAGGATCTTCAGAGTGACATTTCCCAGAAGTTTGAAACTTTTGTTGACAAATTAAGCTGTCAGAAGGAGGTGGTGACAGAGCTAGACGACAGAGTGCAGAAGGTAAGTAGTCTGTAGTGAATGAAGTACCGGTAATTGTCACATTTTTACAGAGGTAAAAAAGTGAACGATTGATCAATAATGGTCATTTTTACCTTGTAGCAYGTTAATACCACAGCACAGCTTGAGTCACACCTGCAGAGCTTAAAGAATAGTCTGGAGTGTTTGAGAGAGGAGCATAAAGAAGAAAAACAAATGCTTGAACAGATTCTGAAGCTGCTTAACTCTTTAGTTTCGAAATATTCAGCCAAACCCAGCTCTGAGCCGGTGTTGGACAGTGCCATTCAGACATCACCAATACTGGAGCAATCAGTGTCCAACAAGCTGCAGGACAACCAGCTTGAAGACAGTCAGCTTACACGTGCATCACTGAATCTTGAAGAACACCAGGGTGAAACTTCTCCTCAGGTTCACAGGCCTCTGTTTGGAAAGAGAAGATTTCCTCTGGGAGGCCACAATCGCAAAAAGAGATCCCTGGTACCTCCAAAGAAGAATAAGCCCTCCGTCGCAGATGAAAACAGTCAAACTGCCAAAAAGTGCGTCAAATTGAAGACAGTTTCCAAACCTCTTCAGGAGCGTCRTGATCAAAACATACCAGCCGGCCAGGACACCCTCCGCTCCAACAACCTGGTGCCAGTGAACRGCGAGAGAAAAGCCAGTGGAGCTGCAGGATGTTTCATCATCACCCCTCTGAGCTGCTGGTCTCAGGACAGCAACAGCTCTGACTGCATCGCMCTCGAACCCGTCTTTGAAAAACTGACAGCTGAGTCGAAGGTGGCAACCCCAGCGGAAGATGAAGACGTYGGGCAGGTTTTTTTCGAYTTGTTTTAGAGGAAGAGGGAAAGTAGCAGAAAAGTCTTGYATTTATTTTGCTCTGTTTAGAGCTTAGGTGAGTAAGAACCAAAAATGTTAACATACAGCTATATTTAATATTAACGTACTGTGACTGACATTTTACTTTTAAAAATATAAAGCACGAAAACTTGTTTGTACRTATAATTTATTATCTTTACTATAGAAGAGCGTTGACAAGGTGTAAGAGTTACAGGATACAAGAAAGTTAAGGCATGTGTCACTTCCACTAAGCCTTACCATAACTAACTTCATTTTTCAGGCTGTGTTCATTGTTTTTCCTACATTTAAATACTGTAATGTAATTAAACACATACAGACGTTGCTTACTAAAATATATTTATTCTTAATTTTTATTCATGGTTTGGGATTAAAAATAAACAGAAATGTCTAATTTCTTTGTGTTAAATAAAATAAATGAGTAAATTCTGTGAATCAAGTTTGAATTCATAAGTAAAAAACACAAATCATTTTACAAATAATTTACTTGCAATCCTATACATTTTTAATTTTTTTTGCCACTGTTAAACAACCTTTACTTTGCTTTTTTGTTAGTTTTCATAATCCATTCCTTTTATTTGTTTGATTAAATACTATTAACACATCTTTGTGTAACTTGAGGCCTTCAGGACTGGGCTTTTTTTTCCCCCAAAACACCTAACAACTTAAATATTTTTAAATATATACTGAATGCAAATAGTAATGGCATGTGAAATATTGCTTGTAAAAATAGTAATTACGCTGCAACATCCATGACCCTGACAAAGTGTATCTTCATTTCCAAATCCAAACACACATTTTTTTCGTCCTCAGCAAACGTACAAGAAATAATTTATTAACTACCAGTCATTAGTTATCTAATAGTTAAACAGTAAATATCTCATTTAGAYCTCTTTAAGACTCTTTCTTCTTTAACATATATGCTTTTATGTTTTTCAGATTTTTATGAACTGACACCATTTTGTGCAGCTATCAAAAAGTTTTTAGAGGAGTTATTGTGTAAAAGTCCAAATCCAAGTTATAGGTTTAATTGTAGCCATATCCTGTTTCAAATTCAAAAAGACAAATTTAAGCTTGAATACATTTAATAGATCTATTAACGATCCTTTCCAAATAATTGCTTAGTTGCAGGTTTCAGAATATTCTTTTTGCAGATGGTGTGCACACACACATGCACAAAAAAATCTATATTTACAAAGTACTTTTCTGCCTAGCAATGTGCAATTAGGCCATTCAGCACATACTCTCTTCAATGCAGAGCACTAAGACATTTTTMTGCCTGAAAAAAAGTGAATTCTTTTGACCCAGCAATAAGTGCATTAATAATTAATTTCCCTCACTGATCTTCCCACACATACTTTGRTTGGACTGGCAGCTGTGCATCACAGTTTGACTAAGTCTGTTGGTGGGGACATGAGTCCCCTTGGGTTGAGATTTGCCACTAAGCAGACGTCATAGTTGTCATGCATCAGTACGTGCCGAGCCACCACTGTCCACCGGTGATCCCATGGGTCCAGCTCCAGAATGTCCTTTGTTATATCATCATGACGATCTGAGGGAATTTAAGAGACTCATGAYGACAAAGACACCTTGAAATAAAAGTAGAAACACCAATATGGCTTTTCTTTCTTTACCTGCACCCTTGTAGTATCCACAAACATAAATCTTTCCTCCCACCACTCCTGCATTGGGTGCATTGGTACGCAGTGAGAGCTGGGGACACGGGAGAGGAGGTCCATCCCTCCAGAAATCACCATCTGGGTTGTAGATTTCCACAGCATTCAAACAATGGCGTGATTGTCCACGGTCCAGACCCTCGCATCCAATACCCCCTGAAAAACATGTGCCCATCATGCAAACAAACTCRGACACAAACAATTAAAATATTGTCTTGTGCTTTTCATGGCAATAACAAAGTTTACCAAAGAAAATATCTTACCTAKCACATAAATCTCCCCGTTGAGCACCACAGCACTACAGCGGTACTTTGAGTACCTCATGGGACCAAGCTCCGTCCATTTGTTTGTGTTTGGATCATACTCCAAAAGGCGGTTACTAAGACGGTCAGGCTCATCATCCATGCGGTATGACTGGAAGGATAATATAGGGGAAAGATATGATGAAGCAGAGCAGGTGTTATTAGAGATTACCTTTCTCACTATCACATTTAGCTTTCAACTGAAGTCCAATAGATTTGTTTACATTGCACCCTGGTAAAGATTATGTTTGTGACACCTGTGGGGTGCGACCACCTAACACGTAAAGGYGGTCTTTCATCCTGACCACACTGTGGTAGGCCAGAGGCAGAGGGAGGGGTGCTGCACTTCGCCASGGTCCACCTTGCAGAGACCATCGCTCCACACAGTTTGTGATGAGAAACTGGTTCTTCAGCTTCATCTGTCCRCCCAAGAGGTATAGAGTATCACCCAGCGATCCCAGAGCATAAGAGTCACGATACTCTGCTGATGTCAGGTGCTCCCAACTGCCTTGAGCTTCCACTTTATACCTAAAAACCCAAACGCACCACAGTCAGCCGATGCAGGACAAGCAATGTGCTGTTATAAAATAAATCACCCSTTTCTTACCTGTAAATCTCTACGTTTAGGTCTTTCTGTCGGGCCATTCTACGCGGACTTAACTCTCCTGCTGCAACAATGTCATTATTTTCAGTCACAACTCCAGCACACACATACCCCAGAGCCTCTCCATAGCGAGGAGAAGTGATGTAGTAGGTCCGGCCTGTGGTTGGGGAGTAACAGAAGCTGCGCTCTGCAAAGTTTCCATACCTTGACCTGATTCCTCCACCGTCATTACCAATACAGAGCAGCAGATCTGTGCTTTCCATTCCATAGCGCAGCTTAAGTTTGCGTGGCGCAGCAGAGGGATGCATTGCTTGCACCTCCAGAGCTTCATTCAGCATCTCCAGACATTCCGCWTCAGCCAGCAGCTCTGTGTTTCTCTTCATTGCCTCTCTTAAGTAGTCAGGGTTTATCAGAGGCAGACGGACCTTCCTCATGAGCTCTGGAAGATGTCGAACACGTACTTCTCCATCCATCATAGTGTTGTGTTTGACCCAGTGAARAACCACGTCTAAGATAGTTTCTTCTCGCGTTACATTGAGATCATCAGAACTTAGGAGCTTTCCAAGCTGATGGGCCTCTAGGTCTAGGATTTCCTCACTCTGGCAGACTTGGACAAAGTGCTGCTTCAGGAAGCGCTGAGCGTGGTCAGCCAGTTCCTCTGCACCAAGGTCACGGGCAAAATAATACACACCGAGACAATTAGAAGCATCCATGTTCTCAGTCATGTGCTGCTGACAGAGCGTGAASACGTCATCCATCTGCAAGAGGAACGCTGCAATGGAGATGCCCTGAACATTGGTGTTAGTGAGAGCAAGGTCTGAGGTATACATATAGTTCAGGAGGAGGGCCAGGCTGTCCGCTGGGGTGTCACGCAGAAATATTTCTCTGTTGCAGCACTCGCGCAAACCACAGGTGAACATCACACGGAAGTACGGACTGAAGGCAGAGAGGATGACTCTGTGGCAGGGGAAGCTGATGCCCTCTGCGACCAGCACCACATCTGTCAGGTGCTCGACCTCCCTCATCTTACTCAGCTGTTGGAGAAGCACCAGTCCATGTTTGGCTATGGAATCCATTTTGCTTGGATTTATCGAACAAATTGAACACACTCAAGAGGCTTTACACACTGAAAGCAAATAAGGAAGTTGTTTCTGGAAAAACAAAAGCAGAGTCAGCTGACTGTTATCGCCAATATACATTTATCAGTCAACAATAATATTTAGTCTTCACTACAAAAGTCAAAAAAATCAGAAGAAAAGAAACTTCCCAAAACATTATTTCAGTTTTAACTCTATAACATCCTGTGACAGAAAAGTAGAAAAAAATATATACCAAATACAGCAGAAAAAGAACTTTGATTTAGGCTTTTTCAAAAAGTACAAATCGCTCTAAAAAGATAATGCAAAAATATTGATTACAAATAGAATAATATCTCAGTAGCATATTGAAACATAACAAACTGTTTTATAAAAAATAACTAATTGCTTTAATGTACTGCAAGTAATCTGATAGGTTTTGTGGAAATGTCTTTTCCATGTTGAAACTTGATGAACAGCATCAGCTACAATAAACAACTAAATATCAAAACCAAGGTTTCGTGATGTAAAATCTGTATAAAGAATGAGCACTGTTTTAAATATCAACACATACAAAATAACATTTCTGGAACTAAAAGGACCGACTGGACAAACTAAATGGAAAATTAAAAAAAATAAAAGCACAGACACACTTTCTAAGCTGAGCACATTGTGAAATGTTTAGTTTGTTCAAAAACTTACCTAACTCACTGCCTCAACTTAAAGAATTCTTTGAAAAAACTGTAAATATCCATGTTTTTCTTCAGGCCACACGTGATGTTGATGTTCAGAATGTGGTAGTCAGAGAGGTTAGACAAATCTGATCTGAGCAAATGCAATCTAAAGGTATGTACCCCCCGCCCTYATCCAGTGCTGCTGCCCCACTGAGCTGAAAATAGACGGTGTTGTGGCCGGCAGTAAGTGGGTCAGAGGGGTTTGAGACATAAAAGAATTTGAARTGTTTGGAGCGAGAAAAGTGAAAAATTCTTCAGTAATTATTATATATTGTTTAGTTATTATTCTGTCTTTGCGGTAATTCCTCCACTTTGTTCATTTTTGTCATGTGTATTCAGTTCTAGAACGACTGAAGCTTTGCTCTCAGCTGGGATTCAGATTTCATGACAGCACTTTCTTAAAGGCCCAGTCAGGATGATCAGTTTTTTATTTTAAAAGTTGAAACACAATAAAGCTGCATTTTTTAAAACGCTATAGTCAGCTTGAAATATAACAGTTTAGTCATGAATGGAGCAGGAGACCATTTTTCAGAGAAAATTCTTATGAATTAGGCTCGTTTGTATTTTTAATGTTCAGAAGCAACCAATTAATTTAGTGTTAGAATTTCATGTGCCACTGACTTCATGTTTGTCACTGAGAGGAAAAAATGAGAGCATGGAAAGTTTAGGTAATCTAAAGTCAGCAAAGTTGAGWGTTTTGCTCTGTCCAGTCCATAATCACATCCTTTCCCTGTGTCGCTCAGCCGTCACTTGTAACGGCTCTGCCCACAACATCCTGACCATAGTTAACCATTTAACCAGTGTGAGTATAAAAACACATACAGCTGTAGTTACAATAGTACTCTAGGTGGATCTTGCTCAAGACTTTTTGAATGAAATTTAAACTCAAAATGGACTCCAGACAAAGATTGGGGAAATWCAGGGTAGAGAGGGAAGTCCTGGACGAGCAGAGATTAGAAGAACTAACCCAAAGGAAAGCATACTCAGACATCCACCCACCTGTGACTGAGCGTTTAAAATACTCTTTAAGGTAAACAGCTTTATGCAATCAACTCTAAATTTATGTATGGTTCATTTAAAACGTGTAATGGTGAAAYGACCTTAACAGTTGWTCTTTTACAGATGTAGTGTACGTAAACTGAAGCAAAGYGTGTTGAGCAGCTTTCCTGTGTTATACTGGCTTCCCAAGTACTCAGTCTGGGACTACGGCATGCCTGACCTTGTGTCTGGGATCAGTGTGGGCATCATGCACCTGCCACAAGGTATGACAGCAGTCCAAAATGAATAAAATCATCTGAGTTTGTAAATTCTTCTTATATTGATATGAGTAAATTGTAGTTATAAATATTTTTTTACAGGCATGGCCTATGCATTGCTGGCTTCTGTACCTCCTGTGTTTGGGCTTTACTCATCTCTCTATCCAGCAATAATCTACTTCTTTTTTGGAACGTCACGTCATATTTCCATTGGTAAGTGCAGCAGAAATAACATAAAATAATTTGTGATCACACAATATTTGTTGTTWTACTTGACTGTAAATTTTGCTGTATTTAGGTACGTTTACCATCCTCAGCATCATGGTAGGTAGTGTGACTGAGAGACTTGCTCCAGATGAGATTTTCCTTAAAAGAAATGGGACCGACTTTATTGCAGAGGTGGACATAGGTGCCCGGGATGCATACAGAGTTCAGGTGGCAGCTGCTACCACCGTCCTTGGAGGACTTATTCAGGTTTGCATCAGAGATCACCCCTCAAAAGTCTTTTCTCTAAACTCTAAAAAAATGAATACATTATGGTATAACTGTTTACAGGTGTTGTTAGGTGTTGTAAAGATTGGATTTGTGGGAATGTACCTGTCCGAGCCTCTGGTGCGGGCTTACACAACAGCTGCAGCAGCACATGCTGTAGTGGCACAAGTGAAGAACATTTTTGGAGTTTCACCGRCAAGGTTTAACGGCCCACTGTCCCAGGTTTATGTAAGTATCGTTATGGAGTCAACTTGCTCTATTTTTTTTCTTGTCARTGTAATCTGTGACAACACAGAGAGCTAAATACTTCAAGTTCAGACTTAAAAAGTTTCACAATATCCTCAAAATGCCTAAATCTTGTGCCTCTTCTCGGCTTTTTACGTGCTTTATGACTCATCATTTAGTCTTAAGAACAAAACGGCAAAGCGTGTGCAAGATTTATTTATAATGACCCCCTCCTTTGTCTTCTTTGATTTTTAGACTCTGGTAGACGTTTGCACCTTGCTGCCTCAGACCCATCTCCCCACATTAGCAGTCAGTGCTGTGACCCTTGTGCTTCTAATCACAGCCAAAGAGCTCAACTCGTTCTTCAGYGCGAAGCTGCCGGTTCCCATCCCAGTGGAGCTCATCACAGTCAGTTAACACAAGGACACATTCTCTTTATCACCTCTGTGTTCTGTTTTGTAGCTGATGATGCAGCAATGAAAGAAAAAAAAAGTATATACGCAATGGAAATCATCAGCTGAATCAGCAATAGTGYAGGAAGGCCCTCGGATTTGTGCACTTCACAGCAAAAATGTTTGTCGTGGCTAATAATTAGGTTTACACTTGGAGTATGATTGACTATGTTTTAATGATTGAGCAGTGTTGTAAAATATAGCATTTTATCTTTACGATTCTTATGTTTGTGTTGTTTTAGATTGTAGCAGGGACCCTGATATCATCCTACACCCACTTGAATACCAACTACACTGTTTCAGTTGTTGGTGAGATTCCAAGTGGGTGAGTGGATTTATWTTACATTTCTATCATTACTGAGATTTTTCCAGCTACATTTACATTGACCTATTTTCTGTCTCCTTTTACCTGTTCACCAGTTTAAGTCCTCCCAGTGTGCCAGATGTGAGTATATTCAGTGAGGTTATTGGTGATGCTTTTGCACTGGCCATTGTTGGATATGCTGTTTCCATTTCTCTTGGAAAAACGTTTGGACTGAAGCACGGATACAAGGTGGACAGTAATCAGGTGAATCAGTACTTACATAATTTAGCTATAAACGTCTGTTTCTGCAGTMAATGTTRTGTTTGTTTTTAGCAATGCTTATTCACCCATTCTTGTGTCTTTGTCTCCACTTTGCTGCAGGAGCTYGTGGCGCTTGGTCTCAGTAACACAGTGGGAGGCTTCTTCCAGTGTTTTTCTGTCTGCTCCTCCATGTCTCGAAGCTTGATCCAAGAAACCACCGGAGGTAAAACTCAAGTGAGTAAACAAGAAAAAAATTAGCATTTCACAATTTTAGGAATAAAATCAACATCTAATAAGCCAAAGTTACTGTAGAAAACCAAAACAAAAGTTATTGAGTTGCAAATCATTAAGGAATTGATCAATTTTTCCAAATGCAAACTAAAGTTTGGGTTAAAATAGGCATTAGGGTTGGTACTGATTATTGTAAATATGCATGAATTGTACTAGACATAGAAACATATGTTTAAGTTGGGATGACTGAGCCAAGTAACAAATAAAATCTAACTTTTGTTAGAAGAGATGGTATGAACCCAAAATGCAGGCAGATACATGGCTTGAAGATGAAAAAAAATAAAAACTGTTTTTTAGATAACAAAAAACAAGCTGATGAGGGAGCAAAACACTTTAAAAAACATAAACAAATAACATTGACAAGAACAAGGCTCGGTGTATGATAAGGCAATGATCCRCTAGGACAAAGAAGATGAGACACCTGTTAAATACAACTGACGATGATTGGGGAGTGGAAGTGGAAGCACCTGGGTGATTACAGACTATGGACAGGTGAGAGTGGCAGGCTGGAAAAACACTAAAAAGCTGTCTGAGGATAACATGACACGTGTAACAGAGAAAACTAACAGGAAATGAGAAAATAAGATACAAGAGTACCAAACAATGAAACTGAAAAAATTCTAACAAAAAGAACCRTAAAACAAGAATCTTGACAACTTTATATGAGTTAATGAAAAGATGTTGTAGTTTCAGCAAACAAAAACTACATTTCAAATAAAATATCCACTTAAAGGATCCATTGAGACATGTTGTRTGCCATCAATTTCTGCTAACTGTTATTTATTATCTGTTAGTACTACACAAACCGATGTGTTAGCATACATGCATAATAACAAATCATGTGTTTTTGCAGATGGCTGGAGTTGCCTCAGCTCTAATTGTGTTGGTGACCATTCTAAAACTTGGACCACTGTTCCAGGAGCTGCCAAAGGTTGGATTGTCTTCATGCTTGTTACTGTCCAGTGCTTTTCAGTTTATACCAAAGATGAAGATTTTGAAGTTGTGCATKGATTTTTATTTTGTGTTATACATTTGTGAAGTCTTGTCTGATTAATTGTGTTGTTTTTAGGCTGTGCTTGCATCAATTGTGCTTGTCAATCTGAAGGGGATGTTCAAGCAATACTCTGACATCGTTACTCTGTGGAGGAGCAGCAAGATTGATCTGGTGAGAGAAGATCAGTRTAAATAGTTAATTAGCCATAAATTGTAYAATTTTAAAATCACCGCTAATGCACCAAATTTTATGATGTTGTTTTTGTGTCGTATTTAATAACAAGCATCATCCTGTCCTGTCTTTTCTCAGGTGGTTTGGTTGGTCACTTGGGTGTCCACAATGCTTCTGAATCTGGATCTGGGTTTGGGTGCCTCCATCATTTTTGCTCTGTTCACRGTTATTTTTAGGACTCAGATGTAAGTTTCTCTGCAGCTCTTTAGATTGAATTTTTACTGCAGCGTTTGAGCCCGCAGACTGTTCGAGGAATTCAACATTACTAATTCATGTCGGCTTGCAGCATCTGCAGCACAAGATAAAATACTTTTTTACACACACATAATGCATATATATATATATACTGTATATATAAAGTTTTGTCTTTTTTTTTAGGCCAACGTATTCTGTTCTGGGAAATGTTCCAGGGACAGAACTATATGTGGATATAGAGACACACAGAGAGGTGGGACAAGATAAATAAAAGAGGTTATTTTTTTCTGCYGCATCARCARAAGTTTCTAAWAATGTTTATTTTTGTTTGTTTTGACAGGCAAAAGAAATWCCAGGTGTTACCATATTCCGCTCTTCTGCTACAGTGTATTTCGCCAACGCTGAGCTCTACCTCGAGGCCCTGAAAGAAAAGGTTTGTTCACTTTCGAAGGGGTTGTSTCAGAGCAGAAGCTGTTTTACTATTATTGTTCAATAATCTAATTAATAAAAAGTTGGTTGTCAAGAAAATATTACAGTATGC